CCTAGCTAAAAAAAACAAAACTTCCAGACTCCCAGCTTTTAGATCACAGAACCCAAACTCCTGAGCATGATTCACTAGACACTAGCCCACAGGAGGAAGCTGGCCTTGACAGTTCCAGCCTCTCACTTCTCTCCTTCCCATGTGCTGAGTGCCCTGCTAAACCCACAATATGTCCATCTCAGGTTCCACGTAGGTCTGAACCTTATCGCACTTGTTCCACCCACAAAAACCCTGCACACCCTTCAAGACCCAGTTCAAATACCATGACTTCTTTAAAATCTTTGCCAGAGCCTCCCCGGTGGAGCAGCGGTTGAGCTCTGGGTTGCGAAGCTGCCCGCAGCCTCTGCAGCACCGGGTTCGATCCCTGACCGCCAGCGAGGGTCCCACATGGTGTGCAGACCTCTCCTGCCACGTCCGCTGCTCCCCTCAGCAGTGTACTTCATCAGTCTGCCTGTTCTGTTCCCCGCTCTGGCTCTGGTGAATTCTCTCACCCTCCCGCAATTCTGACTGTACGCAGTGCTTGTATAAATAAATAAATAAATCTTTAAAAAATAAAAAATAAAATAATAAAATAAAATCTTTGCCATTCTCCAACTAGGGTGGCCAACCATCCCTCTTTGCACCTGTCATCCTGGGTTCATCACTCAAAGCGCCCATTTTCTCTAGAATTCCCTGCTATAGATGATTAATTGCATGGTCTCCTACCTAAAATCTACCCTGACCCAAAATCAGCAGAAGCTGCTTGTGTAAATGTGTCTTTTGCTAAAGGGTGTGTTCCACAGGGCAATATACTGTCTTCTCTAAGTACGTATTTCCAGCACCTAAAGACGTACCACCTGAGAGGTACTCAACCAACACTGGTGGAGTGAAGGAATGAATCTGATTCAAGACAATTCTAGCAGTCAATTTTATCAAAACTCCATCTAAAATTCCAATGGGGAAAAGTTCTAAATCAGAATTAGATCCAAAAACCCTGGGCCAAGAAAGCAAACTGCGTTAGCAAGTGTTATGTAAGTCATTTCTTTCCCTTACACAGTGTTTCTCGACTTTTTTCATTCATTTCTTCTTCAAGAAAACTTTTTAGAACTTTTTTTGTCATTATTGAAATGTTTTTATTAATCATAACATGAAATTGACACAACATCCTGTTAGAATTGAACCAGGATAAATAATGCTGTTATATAATATACGTTTCTCACATCCACTGTAGCCACTTTTCTTTAATCACATTTTCACAAAATTTTACTAGCACAGAGATATATTGTGTTTCTACATTATAAAGCAAGTAGAAAGCTCTCTCTTTATTCGATACATTCAGAATGGCCAAACAAAAACTTTAAGTTAAAATTTAAAATATTTAAGCTATTAACATTTAATTTTATAACTATATTTTCTGAGTAACTTTTAATATAATTTTAGGGTAAAACATAAATATCAAATTACATATGCAAGTTACCAATTTCTACATAATAGCAAAATCACCAAAATTTTAAGAGACATTCAGAACTGTTTTCTCTCCAGTAAAAACAATTAAAAATATCTTCTTAAGCCTTCCATGAACTAATGTCAATGTTGTTGTATTACATAAATTCAATGAAAAAACTTAAATGTTAAGAAATGAAATCTTGAAGGTCACAAACCATTGTAGTATCTAAGATGCTTTGCCCTACTGCAAAACCTATTTTTGCCCCATTGAGGATGTAAGCCCTAACCTGTGCTCCCACGTTTACCCGCCTTTCACCTAAAGCAAACAAAAAAGAATACTCGTTCACCCAAGAAAATACCCCATCACACAGCTCTGTGAGATCTCCTCTCGTTGAAGAAAAGGGATTTCCATATTATTAGCCCTTCTCCCCAAAAGGTGTCCTCCCCACCAAAGCACAGACTTTTAGAGTTGGAAACACACTTAGAACTCATCCAGCCCCTCCTCCTTCAGATGAGGAAACTGACAGAGCTCTAACAGATTGAGAGGTTGCTCAATCAAGGTCACTAGTTTTGGCTTTAAAGTTAGGGACTTGGGCCTCCACGGTGGCACAGCGGTTGAGCGCTGGGTTGCGAAGTTGCCCGCAGCCACTGCAGCACCGGTTCAATCCCCGGCAGCTGGCTAGGGTCCCACATGGCGCGCAGACCTCTCCTGCCGCCCACTGCTCCCCTCAGCAGTGTATTTCGTCAGTCTGCCTGTTCTGCTCCTACTCTGGCTCTGGTGAATTCTCTCACCCTCCCGTGCTTCTGACTGTACCCAGTGCTTGTATAAATAAATAAATAAATAAATAAATAAATAAATAAATAAATAAATAAATAAATCTTTAAAAAAATAATAAAGTTAGGGGCTTTATTGATACAGATTTGCTCTATCGATACAAATAAGTGTACCCATGTACAATGCACTATTTCTTACTTGTGTGCCTTTCCTTAAGCTCTTTTCAAAAGTTCTAGTATACATGTCATAGCTCCCTACCCAGATCAAGAATCCTAGGGAGCTAAAACTATGTCTTCTCTTTCTAAGGCACTTACCAAGCTTGAGTACAATTATTCAATAAATATTTGCTAAGTTAGTACCAATGGAAATGGTATACTATGAAGGGAAAAAGTGGATCTGGCATAAACAAAAACTTCTATTTGTACTTTGCTCATCTCCTAGTACAAGTACAGTACCTAACATTAATAGGAATCTAATCGTTATTAAATTTATGAAATGAAAGAAAGATATGGCAAAAAAAAAACCCTGAGAAATGTTAAGCAACATTTTTTTGGTAGTCATTCATTCATTCAACAAATAAAGTATTTACCAAGTAGCTGTGTGTCAGGATCTCTAATGTTCAAATCGTAACTTCCCCTAGAGCCCTCCTCCCCCCTAGCTAATGCAGCTCCATACTTAAGTTTATCCTGTAGGCACTGGGCACAGCTAGGATGGCCATAAGTTTCAATATGCCCAGGGCAGGGCCTGCCTGGTGGCGCAAGGGGTTAAGACTCAACCTATGAAGCTATCCGCAGCCTCTGCAGCACAAGTTCCATCCCCAGCCTGCGCACAGCAGACCTCTCCAGTCTCGCCCACCACTTCCCTCAGCAGTGTACTTCGGTCAATCAGCCTGTTCTGCCCCCCACTCTGTCTCTGGTGAATCCTCTCACCCCCACACCTCTGACCTGTACCCCAGTTCTTGTATGCATAAATAAATAAATCTTTAAAAAAATATGCCCAGGGCAGTCCCAGTTTACATCTATTGTCCAAGTGTTAATTATAAACAGCATCACCTTCCTTTCTCAACAATCCCTTGCTCTGGACAATTATATTACCTTAGGTGTAGCAAATCTTTTATAAGTCAACTCAGAATTCAAAATTTGCACTCTGAATTTACTAGCTACTCTCAGTCTTGTTTCCTCTTTTACAATACAGGCATAACACTGACAAAATGGTTTAATAGGGTAAGTAGTTGGAGACAAGGGTGACACTTGATTGAAACCATACTATAGAGAGCTTCCTGGGCATAAGCATATTTAATAAGCAACAGGGAGCCATAAAAAGTTTTGAGAAAGGGGATGACTGTATAGTCTAAGCACCATATAAGTGTTACTACCTTGACTATATAGTCAAAGCACCATGTAAGGGTTACTACAAAAAACTAAGGCATGAGGAACAAAAAAAAAAAACAGCTGGCTGCAGGTCAGACCAAAAAGACAGCCAAAAAATAAAATAAAATAAAAAGACAGCCTAAAGCTAAATAAAGTCTGTCACAGAAGACAAATGTGCTATTTCATTATCTGCCTTTATATGTAGTTTAAAAGTTTCACCAACAAATGGAGGCAGTTCAGCAAGCTGTAAGTCACAGGTTTGTGGTCTTGGGGCCCTGACTGCAAAGGGCAGACTGGAAGAAATATTCTAGACTGCCCGGCTTGCCCTCTTGTCTCCCAGGGATGTAGAGGAGCTTTAGCTCATGTTTTGTTCTGTTTTGTTTTTCCTTTTAGGGCCAGATTTAAAATACAGTACTCATTGTCAGTAGTTTCCCCACCTTGAAGCGACGGACTGGAATCTTAAACCACCTCCCCCAGATATTCCACTATTACATCAATTGAAACCATGCCTCAGGCAGCGACTTGTAAAATTCAAGCCAGGTAAAATGGCAGCAGCAGCAGCAGCTGTGGATGCCGCCACCACCACCGGCGGCCTCAACTTTAGGCAGGAGAGAGCGTCTCCAGTAGCTGCCGAGTGCAGAAAGACACAGTTCGTCAATCAACAGGTTCGCCGCGCCCGCCCAAGGGTGCTCAGACGCGGTCGCGCCGGCCACAGGAGGAAGTGGGTAATTATTTAAACACAGTGGTGACGACAGGAGGTCAGGATCGGTCTGGAGGCGCCTTCCTCCGTCTCCCACGATCTCTGGGGACCTGCGTGGAGACCGGGCCCGGCGACCGCCGGCAAAGGACCGGCTCCAGGGGTGCCGCGCCCGGCCCCAGCCGGCGCCCCCTGGGCAGCCGCGGCCCGGCGCGCACGGGCAGACACCCCCGGGACTGCTTCCTCCCACGGGCCGCCTCTCCCCCGGGCGGCCAGCCTTTCGGTTCTGACTCCAGAAAACTTCCAAAGAAGGTGGGTTCCCAGGTCGAGAGGAGATTCCACAAGCCCCAGAGGGCCAGCCAGGGGCGGGCCCTGGAGGTGGAACCTCAGGAAAGTCCAAGCGTCCCTGGAGAGGCTGAGGGCAGCTCAGGGCTGGCTCCTGCGCTCCCGCGCGCTCCCTCCGTTCAGCAGCCGGCGGGACGCAGGATTCTCCATCCTCCCGACCCCACTGTGCCGGCGCCCCAAACTCGGAGCTCCTCCGCTCCCTGCGCCGCAGAGACCCTTCTCGCTCACCCAGGGCCCATCTACCAAGACCCGGTACCCCCACTTCGGACCCTGACCTGTCCTCGGGTCCCAGACTAGGGAGCAAGGGGGCGGGACCCTGCCCTCGCCACGGGGCTCGCGCGCCCGTCCCGCGCGCCGGGGCCAGTGCCGCGCGCCCGCCCGCCTGTACCTCGTCCGCCTCCAGCTCTGCCCGGTTGCCCACGAGCGCCATGTTCCTCCTCCGACTGCCGCGGCCCAAACACCAAGCGGGGAGCTCAGAGATGACTCCGTTTCTCAGATCCAGGCTCAGCCCTGCACCAGGGAGGGAGGAAGAGGACGGCTTCACCCGCGCTTTCCCCGCCCCCCTGGACCGAGACAGACACAGGATCCATTTCCCTAGAGGGCAGGAGGCCGCCTCCGAGCTCCGAGCTCCGCCCGCTGCGGGCCTCGCCCCTCCCTCCCACCCCGCTTCTCTCGCAGCAGCCAACCAGGTGCCTGCAACGCGCCTCGGCCCTCAGCGGGCTCCGCCTCGCACCCCTCCAGGTGGGCGGGGCCCCGAGGTGGGCGGAGTCACCTCACCTCCTGTCACCGGGAGTCCGGCCCGGCCCGACCCACTGCAAGGTATCTTGAGGGTCGCAGATGCATGCTCTCTGTCGAGCACCTGCGCTCCAGCCTGGAGCTCATCAGGTCAAGGTCAAAGCCACGCTACCCCTGAGGCCGGTGGAAACATCCACCTGGTCCTTGGGCTGCTGCCAGGCCACTGCCCTCACCAGGTGGGCACTGCGTTTTTTGCAGATGGTTGGGCAAGAGGGCAGCCTTAGGTCAATGTCTGCAGTCACCCAGAGGCCTCTGTCATGCCATCCACCTGGACAGTAGGTGGGAAGCATCATCTTCAGGTGCAGGGACTCTGTTTGCGTCTGTGTATGTTTGAAAATTAAAGAAAAACCACAGAACAGACATTTATATATACAACTTGGAGCCCTCTACCCTCCCCTCACAACCTGTCACATTTATATTCCCCATAGCATCCTGCACTGATCCCTTTTATATGTATGTAATTCATGCTTGAAGGATAAGCAACCTGAGGATAAGAGGGATGCTGTCTTCTTCAAGATTGTATCCCTGCACCTAGTACAGTGTCCTGCACATAGTTGGTGCTCAAGAAATATTTGTTGACTGAGTTTAGAAACTGATACTTGCTTCTAATATGTAAAATCCAACTATAATTAAAAATTAAAAGCTGGAAAATTAAAAGCTACATTTTAGAGGTTTTCTTGGTCATCTTTATTTTACATACCACTAAATTCACCAAGTTTAAGTGTGTTATTTGGTGGTAAATCAAAACTCTCTAGGCCTTAATATAGAACACCTCAACAAGTTCCTTGTGCCCCTTTGCTGTTAATTTGCTACCTTCAGTTCCTGGCTCTGGCAACCAGTGATCTGCTTTCTATCACCATTGTTTTGCCTTGTCTAGATTTCATATAAATTGAATCACAGAGTATGTGGTGTTTTATGATTCACTTGTGAAACACTATTTAATGGTCATCCAGTGATAATTATAAAAACATCTAACATTTATTGAATATTTACTATATAATATTTATTGAGTACTTAGTATGTACTTAGTATAGGCTGAGCCCCTTGTAAGTATGATCTCATTTATCCTTCATGACCCCATGAAGTAGGTTTACTGGCTCATGTTACAGATGAACAAATCGAGTCTCAGAGAGCTTAAGCAACTCATTTGAGGTCAGACAACTATCAAGCAAGCAGAGATGTTAGAATCTGAACTTCAGTAGTCTCTTGAGTCTGGGATGGTACTGGTAACCATTGTTCAGCACGACCTCCAATCACCCTCCCTCTCTTTTTTCCCTATTGTTTCAGTAGAGCAGCTGCCTGCACATGTCTATTCCACACATTTTCAATGAGTCATCTTGTATCCTTGAAATATGCTCTACAGTTTCAATGACTCACTATGTACCTTTATACTAGAAAAATAAATTGGTTTCTACCCCATGAACTTGAAAAATGGGTTAGGTTGTGATGATGGTTGCACAACTCTGAATTTCCTACAAATTATTGCATTATAGACTTAAAATGATGACTTATGATTAGTGAACCACATAGCAATAAAACTGTTTTTTAAAAGTAATTAACATATTCTTTGGGTTTTCATAGAACCAGGTATATAGGATTAAAAGGGACCTTGAGGTCATTTAATTCTAATATCCATGAAAGTTTCCATTCCTTCCCCTCCTCACTTCCTATTTATGCTTCTTCAATTTCTGAGGCTAGATTTTCTGTCTTGATCCAGATTCTATTCTGTGTTATTTATGAATGATTCCATTTTTTGTTGTTGTTTATTGGTTCCCAAATTAATATCACATTTTTTTCATGTAAAACCATCTTGTTGATGGCTTTTTCCTCTCCCATATGCCTTGTTATTCTGTCTTACAAATTTCAACTCCTCAAATTTTGAAGATACAAAAGAACTTGGTTCTAATTAGTAACATGATTATGTTATAATGAGCATCCAGTCTAACTTTTCAAAAGTCTTTTATGGTAGATGGAATTCGTAGGTTTGTTTTTTAATATCAATGATCAAATCTGAAGTGCTGTATGTTTGAAATTCGTATCACTAAATAACAACATTCATATTTTTGAGGAAGACAATTATAAACACTGAATGAATAAATGTGTTCTAGCCACTGGAACATGTAATCAAATTTGCCTTGCTCTTGGCAGTTGCCAACTTTCTTCCTGCACATGTGATGCTACAAAATTGTGAATCACAAATTTAAGACAGCTCTTCTCAAAAAAGAATTAGAATGGATTCATTTTTTGTAACAGAGTTCTCCTCGCCAGCTTGCTGATAATGTTGTACTCCAGCAGTCAAGTGAGATTACTCAGATATTCCATTTCCCAAAAGTAACGAGCATAGTGATTAAGCAAGGGCTGTGTCTGATTTTTTTTTTTTTTTGAAGGCACAGCTTCTGGGAGCTGTTTAGGTTTCAGAATAAATTTAATAATGTAGGCAATCTGATCTTAACTCTTCCTGAGCCTGCTATCCTCAGCAAATGTAAGTTTTTTTCACTGGAGTTTGGTTTTAGCTAAAAATTGCATCTTCATCATTTGTGCTGTAGGAGAATGGCTTTGCATTTCCATATGAAAAATTTTAGCAGCTCATATTCATGAATTAACCAACCATTGTAAATGATGCATTGTCAATGACTTTGTTTCATGTTCATGTCTTAGCTCCTCAAGGACAAGTTCCCCTTCTAAACAAGCCTCTCCCTCTCAATCACATGCTGCCACGTCCTTCCTCTGCATTCCTAGCACTTATCACTACCTGAAACACCACTGTTTATTCGTGGTTTACTTCTTTACGGTCTATCTCTCTCAATAACAACCTCTACACACTAAAATGTAAACTCTGAGGGAAAGAACCTCGTGTTTTGTGTCTACAACAAAAACCTCAATGTCCAACACATTAATAAATGGTTATTGAATTAATTAATTAAAGTATAAAAAATGCCCTGTACACAGAACATTATTGTTTAGACCTTGTAATACTTTAACGTAGTGTTTTTTTTTAATGGAGAAAATCAGTAGTAATGAGGGACATTAAAAAATGCAAATTACAGGGGCCTCCCCAGTGGCGCAGTGGTTGAGCGCTAGGTTGCGAAGCTGCCCGCAGCCACTGCAGCGCTGGTCCCAGGGGTCCCACATGGCGCTTAGACCTCTCCTGCAGCCTGCTGCTCCCCTCAGCAGTGTACATCAGTCTGCCTGTTCTGCTCGCCACTCTGGCTCTGGTGAATTCTTATCACCCTCCCGCGCTTCTGACTGTACCCAGTGCTTGCATAAATAAAATAAATAAAATCTTTTTAAAAAATGCAAATTACATGAAGTCTAAAAAGTAAATGCTGATTCTTAGGGTAATATGGCAGGGATGATGACCCTCTTTAATGTATACACCTTTGTTTTGGTTTTTGTTTCTTGTGTTTGTTTTTCAAAATTATACAAGACCTAAGCACTTAGGGTCTCTTGGTGACCTAAAGGCTTAGGTCACTGGGAAAGGCTTAGGTGCTAGGGGGCAAACCCTCATTATTTAGTGGAGGCTGAAATCCTCCCCTAAGAATATCCCTGCTGGGACTCCCTGGTGGCACAAGGGCTTAAAAAGCCTCAGCACTATGAAGCTGTCCTCAGCCAACGCAGCACAAATTTGATCCCCAGCCAGGGAGCTGACCCACATGGTGCAGCAGACCTCTCCTGTCTCACCCACTGCTCCCCTCAGCAGTGTATTTCAGTTATTCAACCTGTTCTGTTCCCCACTCCGTCTCTAGTGAGTCCTCTCACCTCCCCGCCCTGCGGCCCCTCACCTTTGGTCTATACCTGTTCTTGCATGCATAAATAAATAAATCTTTAAAAAAAAATCCCTGTCCTAGGCATTAGAGCTGGGTAAACATTCCTTTTTCACTGTTTATCAGTTATTTGTTCATTTTTCTTCCACACAAACATGCAATCTTTTCAATTGCCCTCTTACTTGTACTATATTTCTTTAAATCAGAGTCATCCCATTTTTTCAGATGAGAAAAATGAGTCCCAGAGAAGAGAAAAGCAAAAATACAAAAAGGAGAAGGGGCCGTGGGGAAGGGTAGTGAGCTCTGGCAAAGAGGTCTAGATGTGGAATGTTGAAGATTTAAAAACGAGACAAAATAAGGCATCTCTGGCACAGACAGCTTCCTGGCCCTTGCTGTTCATTGTCCCTTTGCTCCATTAGTAGGAGAACCTGGTTTCCAGCCTGGTGCCCAGTAAAGAGGCGCATTTTCAAGGACTCTGTGACAACTAGAAATGGCCAATGTTTTTAAATTCTAGCCAATGCAACACATTATAGTTTACTTCGAGGAAGGCTATTTAAAGTGAAATGACTCAACTAAGGCATGTGCCCTTTTACCCTCCTGCCTCTCCCTCCTTCCCACAGCCTGGAGCAGACATGACAGTTGGCACTCTTGCTGCCCAGCTGTGCCATGAAGTGATACCTTGAAAATGGAAATCATAACACAGAATGGCAGAATAATAGGACTGAAAGTGTCTGGATTCCTGATAACTGTGGAGTGGCCACCTAGATATACTAGCAACTTCCAGATTTCTACTAGAGGAGCAGTAATTTAAGACATTGTTATATTGAGTTTTCTGTTACAAGGGGAAAAAAACAACAACAAAGCCACCCAAATCTAATTATAAAAGCATCTCAATTAAAGGGTTATAAGATATTCTACCTTCCCATACATCTGCCCACTCACTCCAGCTGAGGCATCCAGAACTTCCAGTTAGTGCTGGAATAGAGGAACAGCTGTGGAGCAGCTTTGCAGTCTATGAACTACTTCTCTCCTGAGGAGATGTTCTCCCTAGTCCTTTTTCTCTGACTTTTTTTTTTTTTAAAGATTTATTTATTTATTTATTTATACAAGCACTGGGTACAGTCAGAAATGCGGGAAGGGAGCCAGAGCGGAGAGCAGAGCACGCAGACTGACGAAGTACACTGCTGAGGGGAGCAGCGGGCATGGCAGGAGAGGTCTGTGCACCATGTGGGACCCTCGCCGGCAGCGGGGGATCAAACTGGCACTGCAGAGGCTGTGGGCAGCCTCACAACCCAGCGTTCAACCACTGCGCCACTGAGGAGGTTCTCTTCTCTGATTTTTGTTGTGCCTTCTTTTTTGGCATGCATCCCTCTCAGATCACTAGAGTCTTCCATTAGCCAAATATTCTCTATATTCTGAAGTACACCAGTATCTTCTGTTAATGACATTCTCACTATATTTCATGCATGGTTTTAGTAAGCGAATAATTATCTCTGATTATCTTCAACAATTTTTTCTCAATTTTTTTCTCATAACCTCTTTTAGATCTAGTATTTACAACATTTCTGAATGTGTATTTTAGAGTGAAATGAAGGGCCAGAGCAGTGCCTTGTTCAACCTCAGCTGGGAACATGAACATTGAATGACTCAAATTTTCCACTGCATCGCACACTATAATTTAAAACATACAGCATTCACATTCTGCTTTTAGAATGTTTAGAAAGTGAAAAAAACCAATAACCCTAATACAACATATCATGAGCACCTGTTAAAGTCTATTTAATTCATTAATAAAGAAGCTAGCAGAATAGCTACGTTGGTTCACAGGAGCACAGAGAGACCTAGAAAGTGCCACAGACATATTCAGCATTAACAACATGGAGATATTTACTTGGCCGGGTTTTCCATTTTCACATAAAAATGCCTCATATTCGGATGCGAATTCAAGGGCGTTGTCATTGACATCCAGGACTTTAATAGCAACAGGTACTCGTAATATCTGACTGTGGTTCCTAATTTCGGTGGCAATGATTGTTATGTTGTGCCATACACTTAATTCTCTGTCAAGTGATGTTGCCAACGTGGTCTTCCCATCATCTGCATTAATGTTGAACTGTCGCTCCAGGTCAGTGTGCCGGTCAATGGAAAACCTTATAGGACTAGAAGTGATATCCGGGTCACGAGCAGTCACTTGTCCAATCACGGAGTTGAGAGCAGCATTTTCATGAACTTCAAGGAGGTAAGTTGGCAAAGAGAAAACAGGAGGTTCATCAGCATCTTCAACAACAATTTTAACTGTTGCAGTATCTTTAAAGGGTCCCCTGGCACTGAAACGTGGGTCAATGCGGACATTGGCTGCCTGAATATGTTTGTATACCACTGTCTCCTATTCGATTAACCTGCATTATAGTGTGCATTTGCATCCTTTCTGATCTGCAAAGTCACAGGCAAGAAGCATCCAAAGGGGAACAGAGAGGGAGTATTTTTCTTCCTGAGATGGTCATTCTCTTCCTACTTATGACCAAATTGGCTCCTGAAGTAGAACAACCTGCTGTGCCCTGAACCCAGAGCCAAATAACCATCTTAAAATATCTGAGGATATGGATGATAATTGGGAGGTCTTTGAGTGATGGAGCCAAAATTTTAGCCTTGAAATAAAAGGAAGCCAGGAAGGAAACTCCTGGAGGGGGCATGTTTATTCCCTATCAAATATAGGAGGAGCATCAAATAGTAGAACCGAGAAAGATTAGTTGTAGGAAGTGAATTTTGAAAGCTGTAAAAGTCTAGTTCTATTTAGATAAACATAGAGGAACAATATGTTTTAGACATGCAAGTAAAGCATCTGATAATTGTGTATTGGTGTAACAGTGTTATTACTTGTCTCGTATAGCATAGATTGGATAATGAAGACAGAAAAAGAGAGCTTGGGGAGGAGGGAGGGAGAGTAGGAGAGAGGATGGGTAAGAGGGAGGGAGGGAGGCAGGCAGGCAAGAAAGGGGGAAAGCTAAAGGGAAGGAAAAAGAAAGTTGAAGAACAAAAACAAAAACAAAACCTGCTATACTCTGAATGTCAAAATGGAAATAGTCTGTGTAAAGTTCTAAAAAACACAAATGTAATAGATTTATTTTAACAAGGTGCCAAAGTACTGTATGTTTAAGAAATTTATCGTTTTTCAACTTCCTAATTTATTTCTGGATGGTGACATTTTAATTTAAATAAACAGCAGCTGACTGTAAAGAAAAAAGAAAAAAGAAAGTGCCACAGACATTGTTTGGCATTACCCACATATTTCAGCAAGTAGGTGAATTCAAAATACTGAATCTGCCAATAATGAGGATTGACCATATAGTTGCTTTCACCTTTTGAAATGAACAGAAAAAATTTTTTTGAGTTGTAGAAAATAGACATTTTTTTTTTCACTCAGCACTCAATGCAACACAGGCAGCTAAGTGCTTACAGTACATGCTTAATAAGTGTCTTTTTCTGACCATCACCCCTTCTCTGAATGACTAACCTCAGGACATAAAAAGATTTATCCTCAATCCTGTAATGAAATGCTACTGTTTGGAAATCAGCCAGATTGCCTGAGCCACTAGAGCGGTCCTCTATCATTATTTTTAGTTACTTGGCATCTAAAACTCTGTGTGCAGAGAAGTCCCACCTATAAGGGAATTGCCCTTCCACTTGAAAAGCTGAAAATACCATAGACTTGCTTCTCCAGCTTCCTATGTTGCTAGGATGAGCAATATGACCTGGGTTTCCCCAAACACAAGCGCCCAGGCAGGTAGGTGTTGATTCAAATCCTGACATGATCCAGAAGGGATCCTGCAGAATCCGTTCTGGAGATGGGCAGTGACCTTGGAAGCTGCTACAAGACACTTACAGAAACAGCTGGAGCAACAGTCCTAACAGAGGGAATCAGGGTCTATCTAGTGTCAACAGCTCTGGCAGCTCCAGCTGCAGCATGTGTGCATGGCCTCAGCCCGGGCGTGACAATGCCGCACTACATTCTCTCTTGCTGTGAAGTCTCTGACTTGATTCTCTAACCCTCTGGAAAACAAGCAAATTAGGCTTTTAATAGCCTTTTAATGAACTCCTTCTCTGCTTCTTTTTTACAAGAAATGGTTTTTGTTGCTCACAGCTAAGAAGTCTGATACACACACATGTGCACTTGCATGAATGAGAATAACGTACTAGATAATAATAGTGTGGATCGCAGTCCAACAGCTTTTATAGGGTAAATTTATAGAGAAAAATTACAGTAGGTTAATAATACTTAAAGTTTGCTATTTTCTGACTAAAGGTCAAGGTGAGAAGGTAGACCAGCAAGTTTGAATGACACTTATATGGGGAATATAGGGAAATTAAACAAAGGGTCAGATAAAGCCAAACTAAAAACTAACCTTTGAGAGCTGCCTATAGAACTGGGGCTTCCAGTGAGGCAAAAACAAAGTGGGGAGACAGCACACTGGATTATGGGGTGGACTGTGGGTGTTTAGGGGGTGGGTGCCCTGTGGTAACAATACCCAAAGGGGGAGACCCTTATATTTCTAAAACACAAGCAACAATGTAAAATAATGTTACCCAATTAAAAAACATTGTGTCACAGATCCTCAAGGTCATTTAGAGGCCCAGATTCCTTCTATTTTGTCCCTTCCCCATTCTCTAGGGGGTCACCCTGGTCCAGGTGGTCAAAACGGGATCGTCACTGTCCGTTCCAATTCCAACCTGTGGGATGAGGACAAAGAAAGTGGAAAGTAAGCAATATCTTTCTAAGTACATAACCTACAAGTTGTACATCCTCCGTTCTCCCATCTCATTAGCTGTAATTCACATGCTAAGAAAGTCACATGCTAAGAAAAGTAAGAAATACAGTCTCTGAATAGGCAGTTGTATACTCAAGACGGAAACAGCTGGAATCTTGAAAGGCAATTTGCAGTTTTGATTACATATTTCTGTTCCACAAATAACAAGCACTTTTTGCATATACACAGTGCAAGAGTCTACATTGACGTTATCGGATTTCTGTGTGTGGTTTTGGTTTTCACGTTATAGATAAAGTGAAATTGAGGCATGAAGAGGTATGGCAGAGAATGCAGTTACTACCCCTATATCCATTCTCCTCTTCTTTAGCAAGAAAGAAAATCTAATTGTTAGCTGAGTACAAGCACCCAAAATAGATTTTTCTCAGATTCATTTTCTCCAACTGTGACAATAAGATGTAGTTACTGATATGCCAGCATAAGTGCTGCATGACTTGTCAAAATGTCTTTGAAAGGTAATTATCCTTTGCCTTTGCTCCTTCTCCTTTGTCCCTTTCTCTGTTCAATTTGCTGGAATGTAGTTTTAACAGCTGGAACTCAAGCAACTTTCTTTTTATTGTGTGTGAGCTTGTATGCTATGGACATGGGACTAACAAAATAGAAAGACCTCTAGTCTCTGTTGACCACATAGCCACCCTATCAGCTCTCTACTGCCCTTGTCCAGATTTTCTTTCCACCTAAGAGAAATAAATCTTTATCTTATTCAAACCACTGTTAGTTGGGTTTTTTATGTTGTTGTTGCTCACAGATGAATAAAACAAGTTTAAGAGGTAACTTGCATGGAATCACTCAGCTCGTAAATGATGAGACTGGAAATACAGCATAGTTGGATCACCCCGGGCTAATGTATGCACATGTAGGTTGTTCTCTGTTAAATCCAGAAGGAGCTGGGAGAAGACCACTCCCACTCATAACTTGGTAAAAGCAGTATTTTCTCTATTTTAGGCATTAAGGGCCTTCTTATTTTTCTCAGGGCAGATACCAGGATTTATCTCTCCTCCCCACTTTGTAAACTTCTAACCTCTGTAATCCTTTTTCACTCCTTTTTGTCACCTAAAAGAAATAAAAGTAACATCATCATATACTTTTTGAGTAATCAGACTCCAAGTTAGCAGGGTCCATCTCACTTGAAACTGAACAAGGAGGCATCTCAAAACATTTTTAATTGTGGGGCCTCCCCGGTGGCAAAGCGGTTGATCTCTGGGCTGCCCACAGCCTCTGCAGCACCGGTTCCATCCCCGGCCCCTGGGCAAGGGTCCCACATGGCGCGCAGACCTCTCCTGCCACCCGCTGCTCCCCTCAGCAGTGTATTTCATCAGTCTGCCTGTTCTGTTCCCCACTCTCTCTCTGGAGAATTCTCTCACCTTCCTGCGCTTTTGACTGTATCCATTGCTTGTATAAATAAATAAATTAATTAATTAAAAAAAATTTTAATTGTGAACAATACAAATCTGATGAAACAGCTTTTCTGTTTTTCTATATTCATTTCTATTCTATTTTCTTTGCTAAAGTTTTGTCTCTAATCCAAGTACACCCAGACTTTAAACGTTTAACTTAAAACTGCTTAAATCTGTGTATCTCAGTGATTCTCACTTTATCTGCCTAGCCATTTTTTTTAACGAACAAAAACAAAAATAATTTAGACAACATGAAGCTTGATTACAGAAACTAAAACTGGTGATTTGTTTTAAAGGCAGAAAACTTTTAGTGACATTTTATCTACTTTTTGTATTCTTCATAAAATTGATAGCTATCATCTTTCAGATTCCTATAATATAAAATGGAACTAAAAATACCTGACCTATTTATGGGTGTCTCCACAAATAGAAACCTTGAACTAGGCTGTTATCATAAATATTTCTTAAAGCAAAGATCTCTAATCTGATTTTCTTTTTTTTCCCCAAAGATTTATTTATTTATGCATCCAAGAGCTGGGGTACAGGCCAGAGATGGCGGGGGAGGGGGGGGTGAGAGGACTCACCAGAGACAGAGTGGGGAACAGAACAGGCAGACTGACTGAATACTGCTGAGGGGAGCAGCGGGTGAGAACAGGAGAGGTCTGCTATGTCATGTGGGATTCTCCCTGGCCTGCCAGGGGTTGAACTCATGCTGAAGAGGCTGTGGATTGCTTCATAGTGTATCACCAGGGAGGCCCTCTAATCTGATTTTCAGTGTAAGGGTATAAAGTGACATACTAGACTACCTAACTCTACCGTAATCTTTGCTATGAATTTTTGGTGCAACAATTGGCAACAAGGAGAAGAAAGGTACATGTGAATTATTTTGGAAATCTTAGCTTATATTAGACTATAGGTGGGGGGGGGCTGAGAGGGTAGGGGGTTTGGGGGAGGAAGAAAATTGCCATATCTACTAGTCCTGATTTCCTCAGACAAAAATGAAAACACTGTGGATTTTTTTCTTCTGATCCCCGATTGCAGAGCTGCTCATTAACTTCAACATGTTTTAGAACCCATAACCATCCTACTTTTCCCAAACTCTAGGTTTTCCTTAACTCATGATTTATTCCTCCACTTTCATTCATTCGTTCATTGAACAAATATATAATGTAACAAACTAGGAGCAAAGCACTGTATGGAAGCTGAGATGTAAGGGTGGCTAAGATATGGGGCTTGGATAAGGAATAAATGCTCACTAGTGGCTAGTAATAAAAATTGGCGTATACCAGGCAGATCCATATTTTGTGTGCCTGAAAGCAGAGATTTGGGAGCACTCTTTTGGCAAAAGAGAAATTAGTATACAAAATTAAATAGAAGTGCAAAATGAATTATGAAAATGAATATTTATTTAGAGTGAGAAAGTAAATCATTTTAAGCACCAAAGCCTTAGACCTCCTTTTCTTCTGACATCCTTTTTGGCAATATTTCAGAACTGCTTTCATAGAAATGCTTCCTGGCTACATTCTGGCTTCTCCCCATGAAGAAACACCCTACAATTCCTAACAACTCTCGGCACCCCAGCAGCTGGAGCAAGTGAGAGAGCCGGAAGTTTAAATCCCATTAGCATCATGATAATAAAGTTAATCTGTCTCTGGGCACACACACCTTGTAAACTCTCTCAGAAGTCGGTTCAAAGTACGAAGGTCTCTTGTGGAGAACACAGCCTAAAGCAGCAGTGAATGCCTATGAAGAAAATGGTAAAAAATGGAAGAGGAGCTGGAATTTCTGCCCAGTTTAGAATTTAGGTTTACAAAGCACCACCCCATTTTCATTCTGAAGCACAATCTTAATTGTTGTCTTCCTTTTGGTTTGTCTTCCCTGTGATATTAAAAATGACATATTCTTGGGTCTCCCCGGTGGTGCAGCGGTTGAACGCTGGGTTGCAAACCTGCTGGCAGCCTCTGCAGCGCCGGTTCGATCCCCGGCTGCTCCCTGCCCACCGGAGGAGGGTCCCACATGGCGCGCAGACCTCTCCTGCCGCCTGCTGCTCCCCTCAGCAGTGTACTTTGGTCCTTCTGCCTGCTCTGCTCCCCGCTCTGGCTCTGGTGAATTCTCTCACCCTCCCGCACTTCTGACTGTACCCAGTGCTTGTATAAATAAGTAAATAAATCTTTTAAAAATATATTAAAAAAATGACATATTCTCCTTTTTTTATATTTTAGATTCATTGCTCCCAAATGATTTTCAATTTTTTTTCCAGTTAAATGCCCATTCTAAAAGGTCAAGAGATCAAAATTGAATTCTAGGGCCTCCCTGGTGGCACAAGGGGTTGGGACGCAACCTATGAAGCTATCGCAGCCACTGCAGCACGAGTTTGATCCCCGGCCAGGGAGATACCCACAGGGTGGGGCAGACCGCTCTTGGCTTGCCCACTGCTCCCCTCAGCAGTGTATTTCAGTCAGTCTGCCTGTTCTGTACCCCGCTCTGTCTCTAGTGAATCCTCTCACCCCCCTGCTCCTCTGGCCTGTACCCCAGTTCTTGTATGCATAGATAAATAAATCTAAAAAAAAAAAACCTGAATTACAGAGCG